ATTAAATTCTGTTTCGCCTTGTAGCCAATTTACATTCCTTCCTTTGCTTTCGAATCGCATAGTATCATCGCGCACACACGTACTTTTCCAGCGTAAGTAAATATGCGACAATAAATGCGCGATAAATGGACAATGCGATGGAAATAAATGCAACTTGAAATACCATGAATGGACAAAGCGACGTTGAAAACTGTGCGACCCAATGGGCGATGGGAAGCACGTTGACAATAAATGAGCGACCCGATTGCAATAAATGTACAATGCGGTGGAGATAAGTGCAGCGTTCGAATACCCTGACATGAGCAACGCGATGGTGATAAATGCAATGTGTGAATACCGTAAATGGGCGATGACGATAACTACGGAACCAATGACAGATTGCGTACAAACTGTACTATACCATAGAGACTATTCTGTGATAATATTTTATCTAAGACTGCAGTAATTATAAATAATACTTTGTGACAGTTACCTCGAGAACAAAGAATACTTATTGATTATCTCAAAATATTGCATTTCATTTGTATCCATTAGTGTTGTATCATATATGACTGTATCATCAAAGTAAATATAATGAATAATAAAGAATAAAACAAAGTCCCCACACCTTTTCATTGTGATATTATAATAGTATGTGGTACATATATCTTACAATACGTCTTTGCAAAAGGTATATATGGAAATCTTCAAGACATATTTTAATAATATATCTTCGAATTTGATATAAAAAATAAAAATCATTCAAATCTAGTTGCAATATGGCGAGCATGCTCTGTTATAATACACGTGCATGTCCAAAAGTGTACATTTTGAACTTGAGGAAGCATATCAAATTCGGCCACCTTTTGTTGAATCGCAAAAGTAGTACAATAGGAAATGATCGGTCTGAGATATAGGTATACTGTACATGAAAAAATAAACACACAAGCGCACACTATAAAAAAATGTTGAGAGATGGAAGTCTATCGACGTGACTTCTCAGGTTGCCAGACTCATCAGTTTGCCAGTCCTCTAGGTTTGTCAGGCTCCTCAGGTTGTCACGCCAACAGGCCGCAGTCTTTTGAAGATATGACGAATGTAAGTCAGCTTGACCAGATCAAAGGCGAACTGAATGAACTCAACGATGGTCAAGAACGAAAATCCACAGAATAACCCGAGACTACCACCAATACTGCTCAATAACACCTCCTCCTGAGTGGGAGTGATATATTCAAAATGATTAGTGGTTCACATCTCCCGGAATAGCGATTTACACAAGTACACCTGGAGCGTTGATTAACTATGGATTGAGTGACTAAGGTGATAAAATAGTTGGTAAAGGTATAGCTAGTACAATAGCCAGGTTATTGAAGCGTTAGTCTAGTTAGTATGGCGTGTGTGTTGGCTGCTAAAGCCCGTTCCCTATGGTGTTTAAAATTAAGGGTTGCAAATAGCAATTACGACCGTCAAGACGTAGACAACAGCTCTATGAAGTTGTGAAAATTTCGATTGACAGACGTGAAATACTTGTTATTATTATACTTACCGAAATCTCTGGCTTCTCGGTAATTGCTTCAAAATTCAACTCATCAAAGTAGAGCTCAATACGAATAAGATTTTGCCTACAAATTACACAAAACATATTATTGATAACGCCCCTAATGCTCTGTATTGGGAATACAATAATGCTTAATTGTGACTGTAAATGCACCCCTTTTGCTGAGGTGAACGCAGGCAATTTAATATTTAGAATAACATATACATACGAATGCATGGTTCGTAACTATGGGTTCTCACCTAACACTTTCTAGATCATTAATATTCAACGTTTTCGGGTTTTCGGCATGTATCTGTTTCAGTAAGTGTTTCTGAGAGAAAATACAAGTAAATTATATTATGAAATGTTACAAAAAGTTGAATTATACACATTCATTGCACGAAACAACTATGTGTTTTATTTTAAGCGACTAGCGGCGAGATTTCCAGTATGTCGAATACAACCATGGTACGAGGATTAATGAGTGAAGTGCACAGGAAATAAGTTAAATAAAATCCCTATTACTAGTATATTAAAGTTATTCCCGGGGAGTTACCCCGGGGTTACTTACCAAATACGTATTTGAAGGCCACAGAGACTGTGATATAGATGTTTCATAGTAAAGTTCCCTGAAAATCGTTTTATCATTAGTTAGTTAAACACATGAGCTTATAGATTAATAAAATCATTATACATCGATTATTGTTTCATTGTCTGTGTGTCGATCACGTTGATTGGATGTTTTCAAATCATTTTGTTTCTTGGCAGGTAACCGAATAGCCTTGGTTCATTACATATAAAATACTGTAAGAGCTTATTCTGTCGTTCTTCATGGAATAATAATGATCAATTACAAATATTCACAATACAAAAATGTTTCTAAAATTGGCCTTTGTTGCATAACGTAAATTAGTAGTACATTCATTCTCTGATTATATTAGTGAATACTGTAGTTGAGCTTATATTTGAATAATACGGCGCAAAATATCATGAAATAATTATGCGAATTATTCACTTTTATATTTTTCCGCTCTTTATGCAAACTAGTTTCTTTCAAAACCTTGAACCGTAGAGCACATATGACTGGTGTCTTTGTGCGTCTTCTGAACTTAATATTCATTCGTTTCATTGATTGAGCAAGAAAATCAGTTTCTTTCCTATATCTAAGATCAGCAAATTAAAAAGAATTGAATTATGTAGCTCTAAAAAGCACCACAAACCAGGAACGCAAGCGAATGAGAGAGTTTGGAACCCCGCATGCTGAGTCTTGGCGTCATTAAGTGTCTCATCAATTCATCGAAACCGATGTTAGAATACGTCTAAAGTAGCCCTATTACAAGAAATGCCCATGAAATTAATTATAATGTTTTGCGAAATGCTTAACTGCTGTTGCCATTTTTCATTTCATTCAAGTTTTTGGGTCATGGAAGCTATTTTCACCCTTGATGTGTTGTTTACATGACGTATTTTCAAAAGCGCTGACAATGAATTTCGCTAACTGCTTCGTTTTTGTTCAAGGTGATGTGGGACAGTAAGTTGCCGGGACATCATCTTGTTATAAAGTTTATGTTAATCAAAGCTTAGGACAGTGAGACACTGCATAACGAAGCGTAATAAATAACATGTTAGAAAATCAACATATCATATGGGACACAATGAAAGCTAATCCACCCATGGATATGCATATATGTATATCACATTAGTTTACTTACTTGCAGGCTTCTTGACATTCACATCCCAATATGTTCTGCTGAAGAGCGTAGTACATCAGCTGCCTGCACGTATCTGGTAAGTATATCCAAAGTATGATTAATTACATTGCATGGGTCCGCGTATTGCACAACAAAACAGCCAGTGAAACGAATCACACATTATTAACTACTTAGAATCATCTATCAAGAAATGGTAATCTAGGTGAATATAGAACGTCACGTGGGAAGTGTAACAATTTGAAGTACAACTTACCCTGAGTGCGATTCAATAGCATACATCGAGAAGCATTCCTTAGCATAGTATCGACACATCTACAGTATTCCATCATTCTGTCCTGGATACAGGATTCTTCGCATGCCTGTATGGTTAGAATTAGAAATGAACAGG